TTTTCAAAGCTAGAGGTCCTTATAGAATTCTTGTAAAAACGTTCAGAGAAAAACTAAATTAACTGATTGATTCCAACCAAGAACTAGTTAGAAATGAATAACTCTTTGATCGAAGTTAAAATCTATGATGATCACTCCTAATTTCAAGACCACTCACTCCAAAATTAGATCAAAACTAATTAAATGAATCTGTTTAAACATCAAACCTAAGTCAAAGGTAATAAGAAAACACAAATGTTTGGTTTATATTCAACCATTCATCCTCAAACATGAATATTACATGCCTTTAAATAGAAATACATAATAAAGTTCATCCACCCACTACAAATCACTAATAAATGCTATTAAATACAAAGGGAAGAAAACAAGACATTCATAAATTGTCTTAATTGGTAATTCAACTACCAATGGCAGGTCTTTTGGCCACTTTCCAATGTCAGCCACTCCATTATTTTCTTGATTGGATACTTGAATCTTTTTTGTATTGCTTCTTGTAATTGCTCATTCGGATACATAGAAGTGATCAGTTGTTGGATTCTTATCAAAACGGTTCTTTAGGCTTACTCCAGCTACTACCGTCTTCTTCCTGCTCACATTCCCAACTATCTCATTTTTTATGTTGTTGGTTGCTCTGCCAACTCATAAACGATTAAGCATTCCTTTGCTACTGCTAAATAATTCATGCTAAAATTGATATTAAATTCAACTTTTTGGTCACTCATTCTTAATGTCATGGCTCACTTGTAGACATTTACTAGTGTTCTCCCCGTCTTTAAAAATAGTATCCCCAAGATAATTGGTACATTAAGGTCTGCTTCATAGTCTAAAATAATAAAATTCACTTGATATATGAATGTATCCACTTGAATTAAAATGTATTCAATCTTTCTTCGAGATAATTGATGAACCTACCGGCTAGTTGGATGGTGACTGTAGTTGGTCTAGCCTCATTGATCCCTAACTTATTATAAATAGATAGAGGCATTAAGTTGATGTTTGTCCTCAAGAAACATAATACTCTTCGTAGCTCCTTTCCTTTAATTGATAAGGGAATAATGAACGGTCTTTCTCTTTTAGTGGGATCTTGTTTTTCAATATTGCACTCGTCATTTAGTGCGACCATCTTAAATTCTTCAAACTTCCTTCTATTCGTGTGAACATCTTTCAATAATTTCATATAATTTGACATTTGCTTCCACATCTCCACTTAGTGGTGAATTTATATGAATTTCCTTTCGAATATTCAAGAAATTCTCAAAACGGGCTTCATTTTTCTTTGCCTTGGGTATTGGGCATGTTGAGCTTAGCTAGTTCCTTTCCCTTGGGTATTGGGCATGTAGAAGACCATATGTCATTTGATTTTGTAGTCCAAAATCTAAAGGGTAATTTGTTTTAGGTGGCACTTGTTGATTGTATGAGTTTTGTCCCTATCACGAGAAGTTTGGATGATTTCTCCACCCTGGATTAAAGTGTTTGAGAAGTGATTATTTTTCTAGTTGCCTTAACGAGCTTGATTTTCCATATAAAAAATTGAAGTCGGATTACTTGGACATTGATCAAAAGTGTGATCTTCTTCACAATATACACAAGATTATGTTGTTGTTTGGGTTACTATAGCATCAACTTGAATGGGTGCTTTAATATTTGAGCCTTGTCCCAACACTAGATTTTATAGAATATTAGTCATTGAAGCTAATTGAGTGTTGACAGAGATCAAACCATCAACTTGAAGTACTCCTAAGGTCTTCTTTATCAGATTGCCCCTCACATCAGCCCATTGGCAATTGTTAGATGATAGTCTTTTTAGAATCTCATAAGTTTCATTGTACATCTTTGAAAAAATAGCTTTATTGGCAGAAACATCCACTACTTGTTTATAGCAATATTCAATCCGTTGTGGAAAGTCAGTACCCGTTCTAAGCATCCCCTTAAATCTCTTTCAAACTCCACCTAGTGTTTCATTTTCAAACGGTTAAAAAGAAACAATTTCATTTATGAACCGTGCATTTTTAGTTTGTCGGAAAGACGATAAAAAATTTCTCTGCTAGACTATTTAAAGAATCAATTGTTCCCGGTGCTAAGGTATTCAACTATGATTTAGCACCATCCCTTAAGGAATAAGGCAATGAGCTCAATCTAATCAAATCTCTATTCACTCCTTTGAATCGAAATGAGTCAATAGCTCCCTGAAATAACTTTAGATGTAGGTGGGGATCTTCTTATTGTAGTCCATGAAATTGACCAATGGTTTGCAGCATTTGAAACATCATGGGCTTTAGCTCAAAAGTAGTTGCTTGCATTTATGGTCTAATAATGCACAAATTTAGCTCTTCCACAATTGGGTGTGCATATGCTCCAATTGCTCTTTCTCTGTCATCTACTAAATGAATAGCATTAGTAATAATTCTCTCTATTTTGATATCCAAAATAAATTTCAAACCCATAGGTGGGTTCATACACTCAATTCTGTAGTAGTAAATTCAGCGGTAGAAAATGCGAACTTACTATGGCTTCTTTTTTGTTCCAACTCAACTGTAATCTACAAAAATAAAGTATCTAAATTAGGTTTCTGTCGTCAATAGTCGTTGAATTAGGGTTCTTCTTCTTCATCTCTGGTTTCACAGCAGTAGAGCTCGTTGCTGTCTATTCCGATTTCTCCCTTTTTGGTGGCTCCCCCTTTTGGTGAATCATCTTTTTCTTTTATATTGTTCATTACTTCCCATTTATGACTAAAAAAGGAGAAAGTTGTCCACCAAGGAAGTTCCTAATTGGGTTGTCAACGACCCACGTGCTTACTGATTTAGATTATAATTGTCATGTCATCCGGGAAAAATTTGAGTTCCATATTGCTCCAGGGTCAAAAATTTATCTCGATTTTCTGGCAAGGTTGTTTCTAGATTTGCTACAGTATCATGATTCAACATAAATGTTTTGATATTTTACCAAATAACTCAATCAAATTTGCAATTAGGCTCGATTTATGCAAATTAATATTCTTTTCCTGTTGAACCACAATAAACTATTTCATGCTAACTAATTATGATAAATGAAACAATTAATGAAAAAATTGTTTGGATGAGTGCAAAATTAACTTTAAAAAATGCTTGATATATAAATCTACTCTTGGAGAGTTATCACATATTGTCAAGTATATCACATCATAACATGTATCATATTATTAACATATCATATCATAATCATCGTATAGGATATCAAACATATGACATGTGCAATAATCTTAGTAACGTCACGTACTTCTCTCGCCACCTCTGTCTGATGCCTCCTTCCATTTCCTATTCTTTCTTACTTTCTTTCTTGTTGTAGTGGGACGGTTGTATTAAACGAAACACGACTCTTCACAATGGTATGATATTAGTTCTCATGGCTTTGCTTTGGGCTTCCTAAAAGGCCTCACGCAAATAGAGTTAGTATTCCTCACTTATAAACCCATGATCATTCCCTAAATTAGTCGATGTGGGACTTTCATCATCCAATAGGCTGAAGGGCGCTATGAAGGTATGAGGAAGTGGTTGAGGCTTGAATCATGGCACTGGCTGAAAATCTCGAAATTTTATTTTATTTTTTTATTTTTTCAATTTGGAGTAGAAATGATATTAATGAATGAAAATTAATTGATTAAAGAGTGAGTGAATGTTCTCCCACGGTAAAAGATAAGTTGAGTTGAAAGAAATTTTTTAAATATTGAAACTAAAATTTAATATATTTGATATATATGTATAAAGAGAAAATAATATAATTAATGGAAGGGTTTGAATTAATATTTTATATATGATTTTAAATAAAAATGTGTATTTCTCATTTGGATAATATATTATAATAATAATATTATTATTATATATTAAAAATTTATCATTTCAAATATTTCTTATATTCTCCCCGAGTTTTAAAATAGGATTTTATGGTTAAGCCCATCATTCTCTCGATTTTATTGGTTTTAGAGTCACAACAAGGAATATCTTAAAACTCAGAGGAGTCTTGAACAACAACCTTTAAAGATTGAGTCTGGGTAGCCCAAATACAGTATTGATATATTTTCTCGATTCACAGTGTCACATTCAAAACAATAAAAAAAAAAAGTTAGTAAAATAGGGAGTTAAAAGTCTTAGTTTATAACGCATGTAATGCCAAAGTCAGATTGATATACATTTGGCATTTTCAATAATGAATGGATTTGAAATTACGAGCATTTACTTCTTTTGTAGCTCTATTGTGGGTGTGATCTATATTACATGCCTATCAATATGGATTGGGGTTGAACAATACTCACCACATTTACATGGGTTTCCATGAAAACTTATAAAAATGGATAAACTTATTCACTTTTATACCAAATCTTATACTATTTTCAATAAATATGTTCTTAAAATATTACTATTTGTATTCCTAATTGAATAAAAATGGATTTTCTACCGTTTTAAATCGATTGAGATTTGTTACCATATACATTCTCACGTTGTTTAAAGTATTGAGCAAAAAAATATTAAAATTTTGCCATGAACAACAAATCAGAGCTGATAATTGAACAACCTTCTCAATGATGCAAGCGAAACTAAAATCTCAACTCTCTCTCTCGAACTCCATGAAGTTCCTTTTACGAGGAGTTGTAGGCTCGACCTTTATAGTCAACAACTCTATCTGTTATGTATAATAAGAGGTAGGTAGGGAGTGCATTCCATATCCTCCTCCAAAATTCCAAAATTATAAGAATGTTAATGATAAGTGTATTTTGAAAAGTTCAAACTCTTAGCAAATACTTATAAAAACAATTATAAACATATAAATTTGTTTAATAAAAGCTTTAATTATGCTTGACTTTGTAATTTGAATTGAAATTTCACTCCACAATGTAAAATAAAATATAAAAAGATGGAAAAGTTGGAAAGCCAAACTAATTGAAGACAACAATATGAACAGTTGTCACTAAATTATTTATATTAAAAAAAAAGAAAAGAAAAGAAAAGAAAATCATCATCCATCCCCTCCTCTCCTCTCCTCTCCTCTCCTCTCCTCTGTCATGTCTGTTGTCTCCTACAAATATTCTTACACCAGTGGATTTGTCGCCCCCTCTCTCTCTCTCTCTCTCTCTCTCTCTCTCTCTCTCTCTCTCGCCTTCAAACGTTTCATCGAAGAAATTTCCATTTCTTTTGATTTATTTAAGGGAAGGAGTGCCAATTCCAAACCAAACCAAACCAAACCAAAGGAAAAGGAGAGAGAGAGAAGAGGGGATGGGATGGGCACATCCTCTGTTTTCCTTCCCTAACTATTCTTATTCCTCCTCCTCTTCCTTTTCTAGATCGTAGTTTTCCATCCTTCATCTGGATCCTTCTCAATGGTGATTTCACGTCTCTGATTCTCTCGTTTTTTTCATCCAACTTTTTCTGGGTTTTTTTTTTTTTGTTTTGTTTAATTTTTGCTTTCGATGCTTGTAGGAGCTTGGGTCGTCCTTTCGTTGATTGCAAAGCATCGGATGATTAACGATTGAATCTCTTTTTTGTTTTTTTTTTGTTTTGTTTTTTGTTGGGGTGTGTTCAAAGCGCCAGTTGGATTCCGTCTGAATTTACAGTTAAGAATCGCCCCTTTCGTTGCTGCTTAGTTGAATCGACATTTTCGATTGGGTTGTTTTTTTATTTTGGATTTTGGATTTGGGATTTGGGATCGGGTTATGTGTTCCGAGTTCGAATCGGATGATATATATGTATATATATATGTTTGTTTTTGAATTTTGATCTGAATTGGGCGTTTTGCGATGTGTAATAAATCGGAATTGGTTGGATGATTGATTGTTTGGTAATAGAAAAGATGGAATCGGATCTTGGCAAGCTCTTCATTGGCGGAATTTCTTGGGATACTGATGAAGAGCGTCTTAGGGATTATTTTGGCAGCTATGGCGAAGTGGTTGAGGCTGTGATCATCAGGGATCGTTCCACTGGCCGTGCTCGTGGCTTTGGATTTGTTGTCTTTGCAGATCCTGCGGTTGCCGAAAGGGTTATTTTGGAGAAGCACATCATCGATGGCCGCACTGTGAGATTTTCTCCTTTTAACATCTGATTTCTGTTCTTCTTGATTTCCTGAGATTCAAATCTAATTCTGAATAAATTTAGATGTGATGCGTTCTGTTGATGCAATTTGTACTATCTGAATGGTTGAATTCTGTACTGGTACTAGTTTGTGTGAAATTGGAGTTGCTTTCTTGTTAAATGTATAGTTTTCGATTATCAGGTTGAAGCTAAGAAGGCTGTTCCAAAGGATGATCAGAACACATTGAACAGAAACAATGGTAGCATCCATGGTTCTCCTATCTCGGGACGAACAAAGAAGATTTTTGTGGGAGGTTTAGCTTCAACAGTCACGGAGGCCGACTTTCAGAAGTATTTTGATCAGTTTGGCACAATTACTGATGTTGTTGTTATGTATGATCACAGCACGCAGAGGCCGAGGGGTTTCGGCTTCATTACTTATGACTCGGAGGAGGCGGTCGATCTTGTGCTGCATAAGACCTTCCATGAGCTCAATGGAAAGATGGTTGAGGTGAAAAGAGCAATTCCAAAAGAGCTAACCCCAGGGTCCAACCGAAGTCCTGTTGTAGGATATAACTATGGTATGAGTAGAGCTAGTGGTTTTCTTAACAGCTATACTCAAAGCTATAACATGAGTCCTCTCGGAAGTTACGGAGTCCGAGCAGATGGTAGGTTGAGTCCAGTTTTTAGCAGTCGTACCGGGATTCCTCATTTCGGTACTAATAACTATGGAGTTGGTGTGAATTTGGAGCAAGGACTGAGGCAAGGCTATGGAAGGAGTTTGAACATTATGAACAGCCAAGCACAGGAGCAAATGTTGAATTCCTATTATAATGGGAATTCAAATAGGTTCATTACCCCAATTGGCTACAGTGGGGGAAATGGAAGAGGTGATTCTCTGTTAAGCTCGAGTACGTGGAATGTGTGGGGAAATGGAAGTATGAACAATGCCATGAACTCGCCCAACCCTGGCGCTTTCTCTGGCTCTGGAATGGGGAACTTCCGAGTGGCGTATGGAAACAACGACGATAATTGGAGTTCTGCTGCTGTTGGTAATCATGTTGGAGTGAATGCTCCTCCTGGCTACACTAATAACAATGGTTATGGTATTGGAGAGAGTGAGTTTGGGATCAGAGGAGGAGGCTATGGAAGAAATGGAGTAGTCTCGAGCGTGGCAACACAAAAAGCCTTCGCTGAAACGACAGATGGTTACGAGAGGTCGTATAGGGAGCTGTACCGTGATGGAACGGTGCATGACGATTCAACATGGCCGTCTACCACTCCTGAACTGGATGGTTCTGTGCCTTTTGGTTATGGTCTTGGTAGCCTTGCTTCAGATGATCCAGCCAAAAGCTCTGAGAATTTTCTTGCTAGTTATGATGTTTCAAGCAGACAGCCATCTAGAGGTAACACCCTACACCCTTGGCTTTGTTTTATAACACCATAATATCCAATTATACTGCTAGGAGGCTTCATTAAAAACACTCATTACTTATCAAATATGAGCTGTGCTTATGATTCTAGAATTGCAATGAATTGGTATTTGATTGTTGTTGGGTTAACAGGAATCGCTGCGTAGAAGATTGTCGTTTGGATTTTTCGAACATGAATGAATATATAGTGCAATGAAGGAAAGATACGAAGATGGATATTCGTGAGTTTTATGTACCGGTTGCTTGCTTGTTCGTTCGTTGGTTGGTTGGTTGGTTCAGTTGATGAGTTAAAAAGGGAACACTGATCTTGTAACATTTGACCTGGTTCGTCGATCCGAATGCGATACATAGGGAGGGAGATACATATACTATATATTTGGAAGGAAAGAAGAAGAGAAAGGGAAATGGAGAATTGTAATTTTTGTTATGTGTTTTGGATTTTTGGTTAAGAAGAGAGAGATAGGATTGGTAATGTTGGCATTTGATTGAGGTGTAAAAGCAGCAGATTGGCAGATAGAGATACTCCAGAAGAGTGATTATTATTTTTATCCCATGATATCCAGTGAGTGAGGCATGGCGGCAGCAGCAGTAGCAGTAATATCATTATCACTATCATTATCATTTGATTTAATGAGAAACACAGGTTATTTATTCTATACATATATATATATATATATGCTTACTTGGGTTATGCTGCTGCTGTGATTGACTTGTTCATAGAATCAATGAAGCAGCACATTATTTCATTCTGCCATTGATTATTGATTGATTGATTGATTGTTTTTGATCCATTTTTGTATGCCAATTTGATTCTCTTCTGTTCTCATCCTTTGTAGATTAGGATATGCTTTGCTTTTTGGCTTTTGCATCTCAAGAATTCAATGCTTTTGTTGTGTGGTCCTTTCATTTATATTCCTTCTTCTTCACCAATGTATGGATAAAATCTCTTGGCTTCTTCTTTTTCTTGCTTTGGTTTGCCCTTTATGGGTCCATATGCATATCTCACCCCACTGCCCCCACGTATCTTTTTTTTATTTACGAAAGGTTTAATGTCTCTTTACAAATTTGTTAATCGAGAATGTAAATATTTCACATAGTTATATGCAATTCGATCTTAATTCGAAGTGAATTATGACCTTCTGATTGATAGAGTTCATCTTTTGATTTAAATGGGTGAGAGTGATTTTTCTAGCGGATTCAATAATGAGGACTTTAACTAAATAGAGAGCTAAAAACATAATCAGTGATTTTTCTAGCGGATTCATTTGTTTTTATTTTGGGTGAGTAGATGAGAAGTTTCCTCCCGTGTTGATTTCAAAACTTCAATAGAGCTTACTCTTTTACTAGTTTGAGAAAAAAATGTCCATTAGAAGATTAAGGTACAATACGTAATTATAAGGTAAAATGCACTTTTGACACAGTAATTACAAACAACTTTTGAAAGATCACTTTGAATGTAGTAGCTATATCTATGGATAGAGTTCATTCAAGTACACTCTAAGTCTATAATAGAGTGGCTTATAGAACTATAAGTGAAATTAATTAATTAACTTTGTATATTTAAGGATTAATTTAGTTGAAATACAATTTTCACATATTCAAATCCGTATCAAGAAAAATGTATTCAATTTGAAGGGCTCAATTTAATATTAATATATTAGATGCATAGAGTAAGAAATTTTATGATATTCAAGTGAGATAAAAAAAAAATTAAGATATAAGATATCAAAATATATTTATTTAAGTTTTGACTAAAAAATTTTCAAAGTCCTTATAAATATTAGGTTGACTTAGGTCCACATCCTCGCTAAAATTTTTTGGTTTTGTGTGCGAGTTTGGTGTAAGGAAGACTTATAAAGGATATTCGACATTATTTGATTTGCTCGAATAATGTTTTTGTTCAAGTTGGTTCTAAAACTAGAATTCATAATGATGTTATCAAAGAAAATTTGGTGTAAATTGGACGTTGAAAACTTTGAGTCCCAAGGACAACTCTTTTTGTGACCGCATAGCTCTTGAACTCTCCCCCACCTTGACCATCAGTTTGCGAACACCTGATAAAGAACCTAATTGTAAGTTCTTATCTTGTTGGTCTTAATTTGATTTAATTTTACCATATTTTATTTGCTTTCCTCTTATCTTTTTAGACATATTTGTATCAAAATATGGATGTTATAGCAACCCAAGCTAGACAATAACACGAAACTCACTCAATCGATCATGCAAGTATACGTCGAAAAATCTAACTACAACGAATCATGTACAACAACCACGAAATTAAAATAACAATCACTAAGACCAAAGACGAAGAAGAGGAGACATTTGGCCAAAGAAAGAGAGTCGACACGTGCTATGCTGCCAAGCTAAGACTAAAAATGAACGTCAACTCGGCCTACCACGAAAGGTTACAACTTTGTTGATTTGGTAGAGAGAGAAGGAGTTGACACCTAATAAAAGGGGTCAAATAATGGCATCTTAGGAACAACTCACGTTCAATTGGGAGGTGGGTTGATATGGGAAGTCAAAACTTGTACCCACAATAACAATGAAGCAAACCTAAACATACCAACTTAGTTGGGGTTAGCTATGTCGGTGCACCACATTTGCATCATCACATTCCCCCTTCAAATGCTTATTCCAATTCACCTGGATCTAAGTGATGACATAATAAGATTTAATTTTTGAAAGTAAAATAAAAAAATATAGAAATTTAAATTTAGAGACTTAAACTAAAATAATAATAACAATAAATAACCATTTTTTTATTAAAAAAATTGATTGCAACTAATGAAAGCCCGGGCCTCTAATTACGAATATCGTGACTAATTCAATATAAGTTGCATTAAATTGTGACATGTTTTTATGAAAATTCTCGGAATGACACTTAACATGAGAGCAAAACATACTTCATTTTAGAGTTCTTAATTCCGTTGGTTTATTCTTACCTTTCTCAAACATATTCTTAATACAATTATTATTGTGATTTTAATTATTGAACTTTTTGTTATATATTTAAAAAGTTAAAGAAGAAAATAAAATGGATTCCCTTTCCCTACCCCTACCCCCACCAAGACTTGATAAGTAGCATCAATTATTTGAAAGCAAAAGTTAGACATTAATCACATGGCTACCTATTTTTACCCCTATGGCCATGTGCTTGTGGGTCCCACAGCCCAATTATATGATTAAGCCTATCATTCATGAACCAAAGCTTCATATCATACGAACACCAACACACAAACATTCTAAAATTCTCTCCTTCAAATACATTTCAAACTGCATAAACCAAAGCCAAACAAACATGAAACCGTACTAAAACCAACAACTCTACTCGTCCCTGAATCTCATCAGAAGAACGCTCTGCTACCGTAAAACACACGAGAACCGTTGTTTTTCGGTGATTGTAGGTTCGGGTTAGAGCTCGAACTACCCGAACTCGGAGGACCATTTGTGTCGATATCCAAAGGAAGTTTCATCTTTGCCAATGACTCTGTGAATTGTTGCATACTTTTCATGTACATGTCCACAATGTCTTGTTGCACCACTTTCTCCTCCTCTGGCTCGATGCTCACGCAAACTACTGGCTTCGTAACTGTATCACTTGCTGCCTTGCTACACGAATCGTTGACCTCGCCGTTTTTAGCATTTGGTGCTGAAACATGTTCTTGGGTTGCAGGTTTTGAACTCGCTGATGTTTCTGATGACTCCGAGCATGTAGGTAGTGGCGGTGAAGAAACTGCGTCATTTGACACACTATTAGGTGGAGAATCGATCTTCGAAGCTTCACTCGACTTCTCGTTCGACATTGGAAAGACTGGATTCTCACCCTTGGGAATGGTTAAGTTCTCAGAAGATTCAGAATCCAAATTCGAACACGTGATACCGATGTACTCGGAGACCATTATCTGATCTTCGTTTGCAATCTTAAGATCCGGGAATTCCATCATGTCCAAATCACTTGGACGTGATTTGGTTAAACTCGAATCCTCCCCTTCTGCAATGGCTTCAAGGGGAGCTGTAGCTATGGCTGGAATGGCCATGAACTCTGGTGAAGCTCCATTATAAGAAATCGATAGCTGCACGAACCCGGCGGGCGAATGGAACAAATCGGTGGACGAAAGAGAGAACTCTTTCTCCAACTTCCCATTGACAACAACTTCTCTTAAAGGGATCAAAGCAAAACCAAGCAACTGATCTTCAAGATAATTCTTGACTCTACTCAGCATCCATAACTCACATTTGAGCGACGTATCGATGGATCGAACGTCGAGGCGAACGCTGTCGTTGAAAACAGGATTTCTCCCACCACCGTTGATGGTTTTGGTGGACACAGAGTTTTCAGGATCAGCAGTGAAAGAAAGCCTAGCATACACATCTTGCTTGTGGTATATGCATATGTTATGAATGTCTCTTGCTTGGTGAACCAACACCTCAAGAACACCAACAACTTCCTTATTCTCCTTCCCATTTTCCACAACACATTCCTTCTTCTGTTCCTCTGAAACAGCCATGTTCTTAGCTTCGGAAGCCATTAAAACAGCTGCAAAATCCCAAAAAATACCCCAATTTCAATCAACTTGGAAAAATCCTAAAGAACTCACAATTCAAAACTACAATCGGCAGAGTTTTTCACATCAAATACAGAGAAACAGAGCAAAAAAGCCCTAAATCAAAGATAAATAAACAGAAAAAATTTGAACAAAACTGAAAAGGGTTTACAAAAACAGTAAGAACCCAGAAGCCATAAGTGAAAAGAAATCAAAACCCTAAACCCAATTACCAGAAATGAGCACCGAATCTGAAAATCCCCAAATCCAGAAACAGAGCACTAGAAAGAACACACGAAGCAGAGTGAAATTCTTAGAATCCGAAAGCGAAAAGACAAAAGAAGAAAAAGGGGAACACAAATAGATAAAGAAGGGGAGAGTTTGTTTGTATTCATACCTTTAAGGCTCCAAAGTCAAAAACGATAATCCGGGAAATCTGGTGCACTTGAGAGCTCGAAATGGCCTCGAGAATGGGAATTGAATGATTTGTTTTCAGGGAATTTTTATGAGATGGGGTTTTAGGATGAAGAAGAGAGGAGGTGAATTGGGGGTTTGTAAATGGAAGTCCCACGCGTGGGGGCTGGGAATTGACGAATGAGACCAAGTGGGACACACAGATAAAAGAAACGCAGTGCACCGTTTTCATTACTGTTTTTTGTGTGAGCAGTGGATGTGTTTCAGCTTTTGAATCATCCACATCGCTGCCTTTCTTCAATTATTGATCAACAAAGTTCTTTAAATATGATATCACCAAAAGGAATGGCTTGGTCACATTGTTGTTCTTTCGCCTTTGGCTATGGAAATAAGACATCGAACACTTTGGTAAAGTTTGAAAATATGTTCTTTTGCATCGAAAGTGAAAAATTTTGTGTTGTTACAAAGTTACTTCAAGGAACTTCTGAGTCAAATTTTGAATCAAAGTGGGAGGGAAATTTCCAATGTCAAGCTACTAGAAATTATAATACCATAACATAAATGCAATTATATTCCATTTATTTTGCAACTAAAAATCGAGGTATTTAATTATTGTTTTACTTCGTCCAAAACGTTCATTTCTTCTAAAAAATAATATAAAAAATTCGCCCACCGTGGGGCTCGAACCCACGACCACAAGGTTAAGAGCCTTGCGCTCTACCAACTGAGCTAGACGGGCTTATGAACGCAATTCAAGAAATTTTAATATATTCCTTATATTATTAAAT